TGCGTCCATCTACATGGCTAGACTTCTGTTCTCAGAGCAAGCGGCTACTCTTTCAGATCCCATGTTCTAGCATGATTGCGCTGGATCCTCATGATATGCAGAGATCGACGGCGACTTGAAGGCGGTGAGTCTTCGAGCACACCACGGGCGAAGATTCGGTTCGAGGAATGATAATTTGTGTTGCACTGGCTTAAATTCTGACTTCGAGGCATAAGCGGGCTCTTGAGGGAAACAATGCAGCAGTTCGGTTCGCGGGCGAGGCACACTGCTGAAGCGCGAATCCCGTCAGCATATGAAATGTGTACCGTGCCGTTTGATACGAAAGCCCTTACCTTGGTGAGCTTTGATCGGAAGTACAGGCTTATGCTGCAGCAGGAGAAGCCAGCGAGACCACGGAACGGGAGGTCGATGCAGGGATGGAGTGCAGCAACAAAAAAAATGGACTGAGTACACTAGAGTAAGAGTGGAGGTCTCAATTGAGAACTTAGGGATGCCTACGGCAATTGACGCGGTGTGGTCGGGATAGTTGGAAGAGCAGTAGTTCAAGGAACAAGAAAGCCATTTATCAGAGCAGGTATGTTCATTGCGAAGGGACTCCCGTTCGAGTTTGCGCAGGGCAGATACGATCACTGAGACTGGAAAGTACTCACCACGAACTTTCGCGTGTAAACTGGTGAGGAGGGTCAAATACTCTGGTAGGCAAGCCCGACAAATGAGCAGTGTCGATTCTCGTTACTGACATCAGTCCTGAGAATATCGGCGAGGAGGGCAGATCTCTGCCCAAGAGAGCCAACCTCAGCAGAAACACAAAAGCTAGTCTGTTGTGGCCCTTCATCTACCTTGATACGCATTGGTTTCGATATAGAAGGGCTTCGAAAGCTTCGAAGATCCCTGGTGAGTGAACCCAGTGATAATCTATCGGAAACATTCCCTTTATCGGACCACTTTCTCGACAAGTAATGCTACTTTGACTAATTTCGCCTCCATCTGACGTTGTCCAACCACCTGCAAACCGATAGGGAACCCCTCGTACCGTTGCCGCTTTTCCTTTGTGTCTGTATCAAAGTTAGAATTAGGTCCAAAGCGGCCTCTAAACCAATGAAAACGGGAAAGAGAAAGATAAAAATTCCACTTACATATGGACTGAACCCTTTCATCCATCGCACCACGCGGAGGAGGCAATTCGACATCGTCTTTGCTAAGATCCACAGCTCCACATTGCACAATCGCAGCAGGATAGTCGAGGACATTCCAGATCCGCGAGAAGTGACTGCGGATCAAAGTGTCGTGTGGCCGTGGCAAACAACTCTGCGGAGGACAGAGTATCACATCCACGGGTCGGCCTGAACGGCTGCTTTTCGCCGTTGACGCCCAGTATTGAAGCCACTCTGCCTGAAGTTGCAGTCTCTCCGCACTTAACGCAAACAGATCGAACAGTGTCCCTTCTGGGCAAGGATACAAACCGCCTTGTTGGACTGATTCCGTGTATGGCTCTCCTGTCAGACTGCGAGCGGTATCAAGAGCCTATACAAATCAGTACTGCTCTCCCGTGAATCCATCGGCAGCAAAACCCACCTTTCCACCTTCAAGTTTGAAGTTCCCCACCGCGTTTTTAGCCAGTTCGGCGCATTTGTAGAATTCCATATCAATGACTTCATGACCATTTGCCCGCAGCTTGTCGCAAGTTTCTCTGAGGATTCGAAGCAAGGGGGGCAAAGGGGTTGTTTCGTGGTCCTCCCAAATGACACCAAACACCAAGGGTCGTTCCGGCAAGGGTTCCGAGTCCCAGGGCAAATAACTACATCCAGGGTCATAGAGCCAGGGCTCCGCGTCCGATATCGAGCGAAGGAGAAGCTCGCAGTCTCTCATTGAAATAGCCAAAACCCCATTAACACACAGAATCCCCACGGTCTCTGCTCCGTCCGTTAGATACCCTTGAAGCCTGTGGTATGGAAGACGACCGGAAGATGGTTTGACCGCGTAGACTCCATTGCAATAAGCTGGGATCCTGCCACCGAGCCACACAAATTAGACGAGGTCGTTTTACTAAAGGAACGAAAGACCACGTGAACTTACCTTACTGAGCCCCCAACATCCGTCCCTATTCCCATCAAGGCTCCTCGAATACCAAGTAAAGCCCCCAACCCACCAGAACTCCCAGCGGCTGTGAGGTACTTGGATCTAGCATTGCGAGATTGCCCGAATACGAAGTTCTCTGTATCCGGTGTCATCATCGACTGTGGGACATTGGTCTTGACGTACATGACGGCCCCCAGTGATAAGAGCATGTCGACGATGACCGAGTTCTGCTTGACCGGTTTGAACGCGAAGGCCGCCATGCCAATGGTTGAGTCAATGCCCGCCACATTGATGCTGTCCTTCAAAGCAACCGGAATGCCATGCAGAGGACCAAGGGGTTTTCCTGTCCGGTTGAGATAGTCATCAAGGTAGGCCGCACGCTCAAGGGCTTGGTCGAAGAAGATTTCGGTCAGACAATTCAAGGCCTGTTGCGCGATGGCAGCTCTCTGTTGATGCGAATGCCATAGCCCATCAGCCAGATGCTCCAGGGACTTGATAGGCATTTCCGTGGCTCCAGAACCAAACAGAGGTTTGCTGGCCAAGTTGCGAAGCGCGTGGTTTTCGGCGCCATAATACTTACTTTACAAAACGCCCTCGTCACTTCGACACTGCTATACTCCCTCGCACGGATCTTCTCTAACAGAGCGACAGAGTCATATTGCTCGGTGATGTCCAGCTCTCGCTGCGATAACAAGGAGCAAGATCGCGGTAACCCGAGGAGGTTGTCATCGTCCTCCGGCATCGATATCCTCCACTCCGCAGGGATTTTGCTGTCTCTCTCTTCCAACTTACGACGGCTGATTCCGAGATAGGCGGGTTCTGTAGACATGATCATCTTTGCATCGACGTGTATGTGGTCTGGCTGGCATGTATTGAGCACCCCGAAATGCTGAAGAACTTCCGGCTTGGATTACCTCCTTGTTCTTCCTCGTCGCATCGGCGTCGCTCTTTATGAGACTATTCCTATCAACCCGTGTTTGAAACCTGGGAAGGCCCTTTCGCCGAAATTCAATCGAGTCGATTACTTAATCCTTCAGGGGGCCATTTTTCGGATTTCCCGCCGCATCGACCGTTTATCGTCGGCAGGAGCCGTTCTCCGTACTCAATGTTTTTAGATATTGGCGCTCTGACGTCCTGCAAACCCAGGCCCGGGTGTACGAGTAGGAGATCTTCCGAACCCTTCGAGGAGTGGTCTGTGCTCTGTCAGTATCTACTTGTTACATGCCTGTCTCGGTAAATTCGGCTCTCGACTTCTCTGGGCATTGTTGAATATGGTCTACGCCAACAGAGCCGCCTCACAATTCATTTTTATCCACACTTCCTCGCGAAAGGCCCTCTTCGACAGAGCTCATTCTTGGTCATCTTCCAGAATCAGCACAGCTTCTCCCTCGCACAGGACCTCATCAACCAACTCTCTGATTTCTGATGACAAGCGCCCTTGCCTTCTCTGTTAATCGGCTTCCAGCCGCTGTTTGGCACCGGTGCTGATCCCTACATACTGCAGAGGACTCAGTACATCAGATTCCCATCTTCGCAAAAATCATCAACACAGCATGGTCATAGAGGACAAGAAATACTCCTTCGACCGTGACCTGGTCGGCTACGGCCAGCAGGGGAGAAACGCGGAGTGGCCCGGGGGAGCGCGCATCGCGGTCAGTATATGTGTGAATTATGAGTAAGTCGGTTTTCTCTGTGCAATTTTCTTTCTCCGTTTTCCCTTCTTTTTTATTCGGTTTTGGGAGGAGACGATAAAGTCCATTGAGGAGGAAGGATGGGGTATTTTACCCCCAAAACTCCCGCCCAATACAGGAGTGGCTCATCACAGCCATGGCTTTTTACTGTCTCGTCTCGGTATGCTAGACTCGAAAATGCTGAAACATTCCAATCCAAAGAGAGGGCGCAGAGTCGACGGTATTAAACGGAGATGCTCAATCAGAGACTTTGAACTGGGAAAAAGGTACGAAGCGGTCCTGAAACTCTCTTCCTCCACGAACAAAGACACCTGTTCTTTTCCATGTCCAAGTCACACACGACTTACACGCAACGCGTCACTATCTAGCCGGAGGACCTCCCTTCCTCGCTGCACGCCAACCCAACGTCGAATCCGAATACTCGTACGGCTCCCGTTCGGGAATCTGGCGACTGCTGCGAATCTTCGCAGAACATCAGTACAAATTCACCCTTTTGGCCGTGGGGCAAGCCCTAGAAATGAACCCAGCCGTGGCCAAGGCCTGCGTCGAAGCCGGTCACGAGATCGCAGGCCACGGGTACCGTTGGCTCGATTGTCGTGATTTGCCACCCGAGGAGGAGAAGGAACTCGTGAAGCGGGCCATCAAGGCCATCCAGAACACGGCCGGAGTGGACCCTGCGGGCTGGTATGTGGGTAGAATCAGCCCGAACAGTGTCGGGGTGGTGTGGGAGGCGTTCGAGGAGATGGGGTTGCATCTGAAATGGCAGAGCGACTTTTATGGCGACGATGTCCCCGTCTGGACCCATCTGCCCGCCGGGTTGGCGACTGTGCAAGAAGAACAGGCGGCCCGACGGCTAGTGGAAGAAGAAGAGGACAAGGGCGAAAAGAAGCCGAAAGAAGGCCTCCTGCACGTCCCTTACTCGTACGACTGCAACGACATGAAGTTCCACTTCGCTGCCGACGGCTTCGGCGGCGCCTCGTTTTACGAATATCTCGTGGATGCGTTCGACATGCTGTACGAGGAGGGCGGCAAGATGATGTCGATCGGCCTCCATGGCAGAATTGTGGGCAAACCCGGCCGTGCCAGGCAGTTGCAGCGCTTTCTGAACTACATCAGCTCGAAACCGGATGTCTGGGTGTGTACTCGAGCAGACATTGCGATGCATTGGAGGGAACGGTTTCCCTATCAGCCTGTAACAAATTTGTTACCCTGAGAACCTCTAACCAAGTGTCAAATATCTCCCCACATAGACCAGCCTTCTGTCGGAAAGGTGTCCATGGCGTGAATGATACCGTCATACATCCATGTGTCGTTGATCTGGTAATCTCCGAGTACCGTTTCAAAGCTATCCCAGACGCTATCTTGGACTCGGTTTTCGGCGTATCGGTCGCTGTCGGTATTTTCGTGGTGGCTCAGGAGTGATTGCACCTCGAGTGCGTGTTGTCCATGACTGTTTCTCCCGGAGATCCGGGCAGTGCGCCCGGATGATGATGACGACGATGACGATGTCGAAGTGGTGCCGTGATTCCCCTCGATCGTGGCGGAGACGAGGCTTTCAAACGCGTTGCGCACCTTTCGCGCCGCTGGCCAGCGTTCAGAGATGGCGTACAGCATGGTGCTGCAGGCGCGGATGTCGCCGCTGAAATTCGCGTCGAACAGGGTTGGGTCCAGACAGAAACAGTACACCAGAGCGAGGCCAGCGACAAAGTTTGCGTGGAGGGCGAGCAGCGAGAACGAAATATATGACTGATTGTTGTGGAGTCTTTTGTACATCTGACAGATCTGTCCAGCCGAGTAGGCGAAAAGGCGAAAGTCCGGGTGCGATGGTGAGAGTGATGGGAGCAAAGGCAGGAAAAGGAGAACCAAGGCTTTGTGGTATTGTATCATGTGGTAGTCGGTGGTGCTGTATGGGAGCTTCCCCTCGTTTTCGGGATGCGAGACATATGGGATGGCAGCCTTCCACTCCTCGAGGGCGTTTCGAAGTTTGGTTATCTTGTGCGGACTGATTTCCGATATGGGTTTATCCACCCGACATACAGTATGGGAGATTTTAGACTCTAGCTGCTGGATCCGGATGATATGGATTGCGGCCGTTAGGGAGGTGATTTGGTGTGGATTTGCCAACGATTGTAGAATGGCTGCAGTGATCTCTTCCTCTGTTTCGTACGAGTCTTCAATGTTTGCTGGTAGGGGAACGTCGATATCCCTGTCCGATACAGAGTATGGGCGGCCGACAGTCCTGGCAACAGACCGCTCTAACATGTACGCCGTCCAGAATATGCGTTTGCGCCGTTGATCGACTAAGTTGGATAAATTATTTGTCTTTCGATGGAGACCGCCATCGAGACAATGTCGCATCGTTGTCCCTATCATCCACCTGGAGGGGAATTAGTAAAGGACTAGGAGATGTAACAGATGTTGTCCATACCATACTCCTGGACCGGTAGGTGATCTCAACTGGTAGATGGATAGCAGGAGCATTGCCTCCAAATTCTCGAGGCTTCGCACGTCGGATATTATGTCAATCTCTGTCAACGCAGCTGCGTAGTGAGACTATCGAGGTTAGAATCTGTTGTTCACACGGACTTGTATCAGGGCCTACAAACCTCGGGTGATGGATAGGAATTATCATCTGCCAATTGCAGATACCTCGCTCCGATTGCATAAACCAAATGCAAAATAGCATAATCTAATCGATTCGCCCGGCCTTCCTTCGATTGTGATTGATGAGCAGACATGAGATTTGCTCTGTCTTTGTTCAGAGCATGAACCCTCTCCTTGGACAAGAATGGATGCTTGGGATAGACTTTCAGGAGATAAGTACTGGTGAGTTCTTCCCCCATTTCGTCGGTGGGCATTTCGGCGAAAACGGAGTTTTCGGACCCCTGCTGCTGCTGAGAACGCGCGGAGGAGACTTGATCCATCCCAAGCCGCGATCCTCCAGCCGAGTGTGCATCCAGGTTTGGCACATTCATTGCGGATTTGACCAGTTTTGCCAGCTGAAATCCACTGGATGTTCCCAGATACGAATTTGGCGACAGTGCAACGAAACCAACCCCTAACTCCAGGCTTGGTTCCGCATTCTCCTCTCGATCGTCATGGCTTCGCCGTTCGACAGACGCTCTTGAGGAACGAGGAGCTGCGGCCTCGTTCATATTTGCGAGATGATCGGCTGCCAATTTGGGATCGACCGAGGTTAGTGACTGCTCGAGTTGAGCGATGTGGTTCTCCAATGACCTGACATATTCTGACGGGTAGACTTGCTTGACGCCGTAAGAGCAAGCCTCGCCGGCACAGAGGCAATTGGAACAAGATGGGAACTCATTGTCACAGCGTTGCTTGCGGCCTTTGCATCTCTGACAGGCAACGGCGCTTCGGGCTCGTCGCTTGGCTGGTCGTTCTTGCACGTCATCGTTGTGTGGACTGGAATGTCGTACCGTATGCATGCTGGTCGTTGTTCAGTGATACACAGATCAAAGGACGATCAGGGTCGGCTTCTTTGCCCGATTTCACCAAGTTGTCGATACCATTCCGCATACGACAATGTTCACTTCTGGTCCGATCAGGGGAGCTTCGAAAGTGCATTCACGGTCTTGAGGCTGGATCCTTGACCGCCTGACAGGGAGCTGAGAAGATAATAAAACCATGTGCTCTCCTGAGTGTGGTCACTGCTTTGGTCAAGTCACAGCGGGGAATTCCGCCTCCCGCTTCGGGCATGGTCGTAGGCTCATCAGGCTGCGCGCCCGCCCCTTTGGGGGGTCGCGATAAGAAGCCCCTCTCCCTCCTGAATCTTCCACTCTCCCCTCTCTCCTGTGCTTCCTTCTATGCCAGTGTCATCAGATGCTGGTGCTGAATTAAATTGCCACTCGGCGTAGACAGTGCTAAGGCGGTAGCTTTATGGTCGTAGAAATATGAAGTCTTGTTCGCAAGGCTAGCCAAGGTAAGCGTTTCTGTTCATTTGAGAATGACTTCTCTCCCAGGGCATATGCCGAAGACCGTCGAGTCTTCGTGTGGCTGTCGTCAGAATCCCCGCCACGACACTGGAACAGGGGATATTGGCCAGTCATCATGATCAATATCTGGTTTTCGCAGACATCATCTGTCGGTCACAGCACGGCTAGGTACATGTCAGGTCCAACGTCGATCGTTCACGAAGCCGAATGTGGGCTAAAACCTCTACATTCGCATAAAGATATTGGGACAACCCGGCGGCAAATATCGAGACTTCTATGAAGAGTGAACCCCCAAAGTTCCAAGCAAGTAGCAGAAGTCATCTCAACTGAAGGTATCGCCATCCTTCAAACTCTGCCTCCCCTAAACAATTCCACCATCCCTAATCTGCAATCAACGCCCTTTTCACAATAAGCCGACGTCCTGTCTACAGTTGCCCTTGGTCATTATCGCCTTCACCATCACCAGCCTCTTCAGTGCAGGTGCCACCACCACCAACGGCGGCAGCATTTGCTGCGTCCATAAGCTATTCTATCGCCCAGTACTAGGTTAGCCATCCGTTGCCATCGCATGGTCACAGATCTCTCGAATCAAAGGGTGCCCTACCCCTTGCTAACATTGGGCCTCCCCATATCCCCTTGCTAGAGCTATTTGTGCTTCTGCAAGTGCTCCATAGTCTCCACTTTGTTGTGCCAATCTGTATGCTGTTTCTGTGTCGTCGAAATAACTGTAGCAAAATTGAAGCTCAGGTTCATAGTAACTAGCATCCGCTCTCTCCGACAATTCAATTGGAGCAGCAACTGCTGCAAAGTGCCATTGTCGCAAGGAGACACCGCTAGAAAAGCGCATTGTAGAAGCTGAGGGGGCCCCATGCTATTGTACCAAAAGAGCGCCAACCCAGTTTTCCGAGAGTGTCAATGGAGGTTTCAAGAGAGCGTTTCGGAGGTTGGTCGATAGTGAAGTCTAGGTTCTTCATCTGCCGTCTCTTATATAGGATAGCTTTGAGGCTTTTGACCGGACGCCGAGTGTAAATTGAGATATATCCAAGCCTGCCTCTTTTTGGTGACTGCATTGCTGCCGGGGACTGTCTTACCACACCCGCCTGATCAGCGCTATACAATTTACGATCAAAGGAGGTCCATGGGGAGGCTAGAAGGTAAAGGGGCAGGGGGAGACGAGATGGCGGCTTAGTAGTGTCAGATCGCAGGCTGGAGAGTAAGCCCATTATTTCTACATATTGGCAGTAGGATCGATGGGAAGTTGAAAGCAGAGCAGTACCGACACGGCGACTTCAACTTTATTTCAGCCAGTTCCCGAGACAACAAAGCCCGCGTTCAGCAGCATCAGCGGTCTTGGGGGAGGGGGAAAATGTGAAAATTTGTCGGCATATAAGCACGTAGGTTGAGCACGTAGGTAATACGGAGTACAATTGAACCTGGATCAAGCGCCGGGCGGCTTCACCTTGTCCCAAATTTCTTGATCCTTAAGGGGGGTGCACGGCCTGCCCACGCGAATATGCGAAGTACACAGTTCCCTCTCTTCCGGACCGGAGCTACGGACAGCGACTCTGAGTTGAACGAAGCAAAAAAACGTAGAGCGGTATCGAGAAAGGTGTAGCTTCAGATGGCTTTGATTGTGGCTTGAAGACCTGTTATGGTAAGTATCCAGAGAAATAAAAGACCCACACTCCTTGTTTGCACTTAGCCTAATTAGGCTGTGTTTTTCATGTTCTCTGTCGCCATATCAAACCTTGATAAGACTTTTTTTGAAGTATCTACCAGAGCCAACATCGTTGTTGACTTTACAACGCAGAGACCACTATGCGGACCGTGCTGCCTGCCGTCAAGACGGTACCTCGAGCATCCTAGGAGAAGTCCGCTATTTCGCTAATGGTCAGGGCGGAGATCCCACAATCAACGTGTCGATATCCGCCTCTTGATGCTCAATTCAAGACTAACCAATCATGGCTGAGGAACCTTGCGCTATTGGCTGGCTCCATTAGCCTTATCATTTCTGTCGCAAGGCTCCGATGATGTCTCAACTAATACTATTGCTAAGGTTGGTCAATGTGCACGGGTTTGCCGAATTACGTTGGTTGATACCTGTGGCCTTCCTATGTCAGCCGATATATCGAGCGCAAGGACAGAATTGACCATGTGGATCTCGAGCGTGCTTTTCAAGATAAGGAGACCGTCTCCGCGAGGATGTAACTCCTGGTCTGGGGAGTAGCCCAGCCTTGCTGAAAGCAATCCGGGGCCGACAATTGAGCCTTCGGATTTCCCGTCTCAGCCAAGTTCTCGACGGCGTTGATCGATATCAAATTACTTCCAAGTCGAGAAGGCACTACCTTTGTCTCGAAGTGCATCTATAACTATATTCACGCATCGCCGCATGTTATCTCGTTGCGAAGACACCCGGTCCTATCTCACCCACTCGAGTGTCTAAGAAGAATCCTTGACACATTGTCCAAGAATGAGTGTCGAATCTTTCCTTCGTCAACTTGATCGCCGAATCCAGACTCAGGAGAGCAGAATCCAGAAGAAGGAAGGGACGAGAAGATGGGGAAACGAAGATCTTGACCCAACCCCGTACACTTTACTCCCTCTCTATGACCACTGTTATTGCTGACCAGTTATACAGGGTTCAGCAAAGAACATGGAGGCATTGGAATTACTTCATGTTCTTCTGGGCGGTTTCATTCAACCCTAATCAGTGGAACACGGGTTCAAGTCTGGTCAATCAGGGATTGGTGAGTCCTCGGCAAATGACCACTCCATGTAATTAGCTGACGATAAAAAGAAATGGTGGCAAGCACTTCTCTCCATCGCCGTGGGAAACTTGCTCTGTTCCATCGTCTTGGTCATTCAATCCCGCGGACCCGCTGTTTACCACATTGGGTATCCAGTTTTTGTGCGCGCCAGTGCTGGCATGTTCGGATCTTTGTGGTTCATTTTCCTCCGCGGCTGCGTCGCCATCATTTACTTTGCAACTCAGACCTTTTATGCAGGAAAGTTGTTTGACGTGATGTTTCGATGCGCATTTGGTCACAACTGGCAAGACATTCCCAACCACCTCCCTGAGAGTGCTGGCATCACGACCAGGGGCCTAGCTGCCTTTTTCCTCTACTGGGCGGTGCAGCTGCCCTTCATGTTAATCCATCCACAACGCGCCAAGTGGCTCTACACAATCAAGAGTACAATCGCTCCTCCCGTGCTCATCGCGGTTTTTGGATATGTGGTGGGCAAAAATGGAGGCTTGACAGGTTCGTCCCAAATCACGAGAACTTCGACGACTACGGCCCTCGGTTGGGCATTCATGAACGGCATCAACTCTGTTTGTGGAAGCATCTCTCCCGAGATCATGTCAAATGCGGATCTGGCCAGATACGCTCGCAAGCCCTCGGATGCTGCTTGGGCGCAAGCCGTGGGTATTTTCACCAGCAAAACCTTCGTCATCTTCATGGGCATTGCTTGTTCAAGTGCCTCGTTGAACCTCTGGGGCACAGCATATTGGAACATGTGGGACCTCCTGGGAGCTATTTTAGATCACAATTGGAATACAGGGGCGCGAACAGCCGTCTTTCTTGTCTGTCTCATCCAGGCCCTGGCCGTTATGGCGACCAATTTGGCGTCAAACTGTCTGCCCGTGGGCGCTGACTTGACTGGGCTGTTTCCCAAGTATTTCAAGTAAGTTTGGCATGATAAATAACTTAGATGTCTTGCTGACGGCTATGTGACAGTATTCCGCGTGGCCAAGTCTTCTGCGCAGTCATCAGCCTGGCCGTGGTCCCTTGGAAACTTCAGGCGTCGGCACAGACCTTCCTGACCTTTCTGGGATCCTATGTCGTCTTCATTGCACCTGTGATTGCCATAATGATGTAAGTTTTCTTTTGGAGAATCATCTCGGAGACGATTTCCCTTTCTGACTGTGAGTACAGCGTCGATTACTGGGTCGTTCGCAAGGGCAACATCCACGTGCCGTCTCTTTACGATGACGGCTCCGACGGACCTTACTTCTACTGGAAAGGATTCAACCTACGTATGTTTGCGGCTTGGGTGGCTGGAGTCGTCATCGTCATCCACGGGCTCGCAGGAGCCTACAATCCCCATTTCAGCCAGGCCAGCAAGGACATGTACACGATGGGATTCATCTTGGCATCTTTGACCGGCGCTTTGGTATACTATATCTTGGTCCGCATCTGGCCGATAAAGCAGTACTCTGCAGACCGGGACGGTATGCCAATGACACTGGAGTATCTTGGCCAGACGAGCGGATATTTTGAGGAGGACGTTATCGACGGCGTGCCCGGGCACCAGAAAGAAGAGTTTGGCGAAAAGACGCCGCCAAAGGAGAAAGACGTGACGCAGACTTTCACTACGCTGGCCTGAAATTATTTGTAGGTGGTAGCTACTCTTAACAACTTGGGCCCACAGCACGCCCTTCAGAGAGTCGATGGTGGGGACTCTTGCTCTATTCATGCTGCATATAGATGTGT